GCTGAGCCACCAAGCCTGGCCAATTGTGATTTCTTAAACTAGGTGATTACTAAATGGATAAATCATTCTTCTTTATACTTTTGCGTGTTTTATTCTTCTTTTATATCTGTTCTATTTAACAAAAACAGTAAAGAATTTCCATTTATCCAGTCAACAATTGGGTAGTAGGTGGTAAGTGAACATGTGGCTACTAAAGAAGTTAATGGCCTATGACCATGAGTTGGGGAAACTTAAAACAGAGGGTTAGGCTGGGTGTGGTGGCTCACACCTGTGATCCCAGCAGTTTGGGAGGCCAAGGCAAGAGGATTGCTTGAGCCCAGGAGTTTGAGACCAGCCTGGGCAACATAGTGATACTTCGTCGCTACAAAAAAATTTTAAAAGTAAGACTGGGCTTGGTGGTTCAGTCTTTAATCCCAGCACTTTGGGAGGCCAAGGCGAGTGGATTGCTTGAACTCACAGGTTCGAGACCCACCAGGGCAACTTGGTGAGACCTCGTCTCTACAATAAATACATTTTTTAAAAATTAGCCAGTCATGGTAGCATGCGCCTGCAGTTCCAGCTACTTGGAAGGCTGAGGCGGAAGGATCGCCAGAACCCAGCAGGTCGAGGCTGCAGGGGCCAGGAGCGCCCACTGCACTCCAGTCTGGGCGACAGAGTGAGACTCTGACTCAACAAATAAAAATTTTTTTAAAAAATGAATTCTAAAAGCATCAGAAATTAAGTATGTCAAAATAAATCATGTTGTGTAAGAGATGTTTTGTAGAACTTACTGCTGTTTTAATTTTTAGGTTCCCACTTTCCTGTGGGAGTAGTCCCTCCAAGAACAAAATCACCTACACCCGAATCTTCAACAATAGCTTCATATGTAACCTTGAGGAAAACTAAGAAGATGATGGACCTGAGAACGGTATTTAACTAGAAATTAACTTCTAGAAGGATTTACAGACCTATTCATTGCTTTCTCACATGTTTTCATTTTTAGTGTTTTATCAAAATTACTTTTATATACTCTAAGAAAAACTTAGTAATCTTTTAATTTCATTTAGAGAGTTAGCACCTCAGAGGACAGATGTAATTAATCCCTAATCTAGGTTTCTTTTGATCAGCCTTGGCATAGGGACTTGGTTCATAGTTTGTCGAACCTGTTCCCTGATAGATGCCCCGAACTACACCCCCGGATGCCTCTGAGAATTTCCTTGATGAGAGGAATAGCCATGTCCTGCACCACCCAAAAGGTGGATTTTCTAGATAGCCTGAGGTTGCAGGGCCTTTGATCTGTGGTAGTTTTGGAGTTTGCCAGTCCTCTGCCTAGTCTGAGGAATATGAATTGGGACTGGAAAATAAATCCTGTATTTCACATTTTATCTGAGATTCATTCAGTTCAAACTGACTCTAGATCTATCTAATCTTGGGAAATCCTGGGAAATTTCTTGGAAAATCCTGAGGATACTTATTCTCCTACAGAAAACTTTTACTTTTCATCTTTGTAGATGTTCTGCCTATTTGGTATGAGATGATTTTCAGCTATAATATAAGACTGAAAAGCATTGCAAATAAGATATGTAGCTATTCTTGAAAGATTAAAATACAGCTACAAAGTATGTGCGCAACACAAATCTGACAAATTTACATACAGGAGATATATGAAATTATAAAGGCCTTAGAAATAATAATTATGAAATAAAAATGTATCAGTGCTGTTTGTTCAGAGAGAAAGGTATTTTTTTTACAGATTAAAGGGGTGTTTTCTTTGAAAATCGTAATTATGTCCAGGCATAGTGGCTCAAGCCTGTAATCCCAGCACTTTGGGAAACCGAGGCAAGAGGATTGCCTGAGCCCAAGGGTAGCCTGGGCAACTTGGCGAGACTTCATCTCTACAATAAATCAAAAAACTTAGGCGTGGTGGCACATTCCTGTAGTTCCAGCTACTTGGAAAGCTGAGGCAGAAGGATCACCTGAGCCTAGCAGGTCGAGGCTGCGGTGGCCATGAGAATGCCTCTGCACTCCAGCCTGGGCCACAGAGTGAGACTCCAACTCAAAAAAAAAGAAAAGCATAATGCTGGCTGGGCACTGTGGCTCATGCCTATAGTCCTAGCACCTTGGGAGGCCGAGGTGAGAGGATTGTCTGAACCCATGGATTTGAGACCAGCCTGGGCAACTTGGTAAGACCTCGTCTCTACAATAAATCAAAAAAGAAAAAAAAGAATTGTAATGCTGGCCAGGCATAATGGCTCAAGCCTGTAATCCCAGCACTTTGGGAAACCGAGACAAGAGGATTACCTGAGCCCAGGGTTTTTAGACTAGCCTGGGCAACTTGGCGAAACCTCATCTCTACAGTGAACAAAAAAATTAGGCAGATGTGGTAGTGTGCACCTATACTTCCAACTACATTGAGGCTGAGACAGAAGGATCACCTGATCCCAGCAGGTTGAGGCTGTGGTGGCCATGAGTGTGCTACTGCACTCCAGCCTGGGTAACAGAGTGAGACTCCAACTCAAAAAAAAAAAAAGCCCAGGCACGGTGGCTCACACCTATAATCCCAGCACTTTGGAAGGCCAAGGTGAGAGAATTGCCTGAGCCCAGGGGTTCAAGACCAGCCTGGGCAACTTGGTGAGTCCTCATCTCTACAAAAAATCAAAAAATTAGCCAAGCATGGCGGTGCATACCTGTAGTTCCAGCTACTTGGAAAGCTGAAGTGGAAGGATCACCTGAGCCCAGCAGGTCGAGGCTCTGGTGGCCGTGAGTGTGCACTCCAGCCTGGGCAACAGAGTGAGGCTCCAACTCAAAAAAAGAAAAAAGAAAAAAAACCCAGCCGGGCTCAGTGGCTCAGACTGTAATCCCAGCACTTTGGGAAGCTGAGGTGAGTGGATTGCCTTAGCCCGTGGGTTCAAGACCTGCCTGGGCAACTTGGCAAGACCTCATCTCTAATAAATCAAAAAATCAGCTGGGCGTGGTAGCGCGTGCCTGTAGTTCCAGCTACTCAGA